CCCCCCGCCGCCAATATAATTTTGGCCAATAGTGTAAATTGCTTTGTGCACTGAAGTTTCTCAGAGATGGTAGTAGGTAGGAACCATGACTGATTCTGTTTCCTAACCTCTCCCCTCTCTTCTTCCTGGTCCCTGGGGGAAGTTAATACATAAGGAAGTGGCAGAAAGTAGGCAGCAGAAGGGGAGAGAAGAGACAGAAGGACCTGGAGGGTCCTCGGACTATACAATCCTCTTCTGAATGGCTGAGAAAGGACCTTGGCATTTCACTCTAATTTTCACTGTAATGGTAACAGACTTTTCTATGCAATTCATAGCAATGAATTGATCATGTACTCTGGGCAGCATCTTGTGGTCACTGCTTACTGTGGTCACTACTTTAGATGTCAATTCCTATTTCATGCCCACAGCATCTCTGTGGGGTAGGTATTATTATTGGTCCCATTTCCCCAAAGGGGAAACTGAGGCTAACTGAGTTTAATTAACTTGCATGTAGTCACAGGGCCAGTACTCTATGCCACTCTATCTTCATGTACTCTGGGCAGCATCTTGTGGTCACTGCTTACTGTGGTCACTACTTTAGATGTCAATTCCTATTTCATGCCCACAGCATCTCTGTGGGGTAGGTATTATTATTGGTCCCATTTCCCCAAAGGGGAAACTGAGGCTAACTGAGTTTAATTAACTTGCATGTAGTCACAGGGCCAGTACTCTATGCCACTCTATCTCCCTACAGTTGTATACAGCTATCAAGCATTGATATTTGTGCACTGGTGTTTATCATGATTTTATGTAACTTAGCTTTTAAGGATTTTTAAAAAAAGAATATGTGTTTTTTTTAAATTGATTTTAGAGAGAGTGGAAAGAAGAGGGAGATAGAAACATTGATCAGAGAGAACATTGATCGGCTGCCTCCTGCGTGCCCCCTACTGGGGATCGAGCCCACCTCCCAGGCATATGTCCTAACTGGAATTGACCCAGCTACCTCTCAGTGCATGGGACAGTGCTCAGTCCACTGAGCCACACTAGCCAGGGCTAGCTTTTAAGGATTTAAAGAGCATTGTATTTCTTCTAAGTGAAGTAGAAATTAAATCATTGAATTTTTCTTACTTTCCTTTCTGTTTACTATAAGTAAGTCAAGTATGTAGCTCCAACAAATTATCTGGTTTTACAAATTCTTCTTGTTGCCTCCTGAATATATTGTCAGGGATCAATATTAAGAAAAACACTGCAGAGCTCTTAATTTTAAAAATAATTTATAGCTTGAATTCATACCTTTATCATTCAGGAAATGAAGAGTGGAAGAATTATTTTCAGAAAATTGGAAATGAGGCGGTAAATGACAAGAATTTATGAATGAGAGAGCACTTGGTACAGAATCCCAGAGTGCATCACGGCCAATAACAGTTGTAGTTGACAAATGAGAAACCGACCCTCCTGAAGTGGAGAAACTCAGGCGTAGGACATGCAGAAACGCATTTCCTCTAAGTGACCTGTTTCTGCAGGTGTGACCCTTTTCAACCCTTACCACGTGCAATATTGTGCTCTTCTTATCCCCACTTCACAGGTGGGGAAACTGAGGCTCAGTGACGTGTCCATGGTCACATAGCTGTTGAGCAGTGGAGCCGAGATTTCCCTGTACAAGCCCGGGCTCAGACCCCTTAGCAGTAGGCCTCTTCATTAAGAGGTCTCTTTTGGGGTGGCAGTTTCATCTGGACACAAATTCAGTGTAGAAGAATGTTCCCCTTCAAGTGAATTCGAGCATGTTGGGGTCTGGAGAGATAGCATTTACTTTTAACTGCCTATTCATTCAGCCTCAAAAAGAAGCCCCTTGCATGTTTTCTCAGGACAAATGATGCTACTGGTTGAATACTAAGAACTGTTTTGATCTGACAAAATTTACTATCTGTGTACCTACGGGGAGCAAAAACAAATTGTGGGCTGGTAAAATTTAGTGCTTATTTACAAGCTTTATTTCCCTTAGTTCCTCAAATTTGCACGCATAGAGAGGGCATCATGGTCAGATTTTAAGGACCATTGGCAGCAGGAAAAGTAAGCAACATGAATCAGGGACCCCCCAGTAGTTGCCGCCTCTGTGAGGTCTGTTGGCATGGAAAATGGAATGGCTGGCTGGGTTTAATAGACAATATGGGCTTCTTGATGAAGAGGACTCTATTCACTCTCTGATTTGAAAAGCAAAACTAAACTAAAGCTTACTTAGGTATAAACATTACAAGCACTTTTAAAAATCTTAGTTTTCTAGTAGGTGGCTATCACTCACATATGTCCTGAATCCTAATGCATCAGTGTTTATCAAACACCTTTAGGTCAGGCCTGGTCCACTGGTGCACTGCGCTGCTTCATCTACCCTCTTACATACTTCACTCCTATGTAGCCTCTATCCCCATTCTTTCTTTGGATATTGTTACTTTTGAAGAAATCATTGTCTTGGCGTTAGACGTGGCCTCTAAATTCACCTGGTCAAGCCTCTTTATTTCATACTAGAGGCCCAGTGCACGAAATTCATGCATGGGTAGGGTCCCTAGCAGCTGCCAGCTGCCAGCCGGGCCCTTCCTTCATTTTGCGCTGCCCCCTGGTGGTCTGCGCACATCATAGCAAGCAATCAGACTCCCGGTCAGTCGAACGCCCAAGGGAACACTTTGCATATTAGGCTTTATATATATATACATATAGAAAATGGAGAAACTATAATGCTGGTAGCTTATCTCTGTGTAGTATTTTCTGACCAATTGTTTGCTCTAATTGTTTTGACCACCCTGTGCTGGTTATTACCCCTGTGCTAGAGATGAGGAAGTGAAGGGTTGGGCCCAGGTCAGTAGCTGGTTATCAGCAGAGCTGGGACTCAAACCCAGTGTTCTGATTTTTGCCCCAGGTCTTTCCGTTGCATCATGCTGCTGCTCATACTATTGTGACTGGCCCAGCACTTCCAAATGTTTCTCCTTCCCCGTGTGCTGAAGCCTATGAGCAGCGTTTAATTCTATTACTGAATATGGGGCTTGAAATCAGTGTATTTCTCTTTTTAAAAATCATTTAACGCTATGATAGGTGAGCACTTGTTGATATAAGTATTTGTTGAGTTAACATGTATAAGTACCCTAAGAATGCTGGATCAAAATGGTTTCAATCAGTTCAGTGCTTACCTGCCCACCTTACCTGTTTTGAAGCACCATATAAGATGCCCTCCTATGGAGGAGGGAGGAACAGCAATCTCCTTTGGTGTGCTCTCGGTAATGGGGTCTCTGAATCACCCTTTAGCAACCACACTTTGCATATGCCTGTCTGTGTAAGCAGTGCTGGTGATTACCTCGGATAGAGCCTACCCACCGAGTAGGAAGAATGAGGTAAACATTTTGAGTAGAGAGAGACAAGGGAGTGGAGTGGGTGCTTTTCTCCCTTAACCCTTGGTCTTGCTCCTGAAAAGAAGGTATTGAGTTTAGTAAACAGAGTAACTTTGGTTCTGGTGTAAGCCTAAGCAGGATCAGTTCTTGTTATATTGAACTGCTTATCTTCAGTTGCTAAAGTTTGGAGAATGCACCATTCTTGTGGACTTTTGGGGACAAGAGTGAAATTTGAGATGCCCTTTGGCCATTCCTCGGTCCCCAGGCAGAATGTCACCCAACATGGAGAGCGAATTTTCTTCTTCTGTCCAACAGGTTCCACACCCTTCTTTGGCAGTTCCTGCCATTGTCTTATTTCTTCATGATCAAGAGAACTGACTTTGTGAACCCTTGTGTTCTGTCTTTCAGGTCTAACTTCAAACTTGTGGCCGTTAATTCAAAACTCTATGCCATTGGTGGGCAGGTCGTTTCTAATGTTGAGTGTTACAATCCTGAGCAGGATGCGTGGAATTTTGTGGCACCCTTACCCAATCCTCTGGCTGAGTTCTCTGCATGTGAGTGTAAGGGGAAAATTTATGTCATTGGAGGATATACGACCAAAGGTAAGTGAAGGGGCCAAGTAAGTGGTCCTCTTATATGTCAGCTTTGCAGGCAGCCTGGGAAGGGCAGAAGCTGCCAGAGGAAACACTCCAGTGTACACAAGTGTGATTTTATGCATTACGTACTGTGTATTTACACATCTGGAAGGAAGCGAGTCCTATGTGACAGGGTGGTTTGGACAGGAGGGGCCTTTGATGCCTTTGAATAGGGTAGGGAGAACTGTGAAGAAAATATGTATTTCTGCTCTGGAAAGCTAGCCTTATAGTTTGTCATCTTAAGACTTGGCTGGGTCATTCCCATCCTTTTTCCCAACACACATGAATCCTCCGCATCCAGCACTATGGGATTTAGTGCCAGACATCCTTGCAGAGTTTTGTTTTCATTTGCTCCCGTTTTGAGCACAAACATATGAGCTGTAGATTCTGAAATGCAGCTCTCAGCTGTTGCTTACACACCATAGGAGGAGCAAGAGAACATGATATGAGAAGATTCTTTTCTGACCGGTAGGTGGGAGGTGGTTCTGCTATTTATTAAACTGTGCATATATTTTTTCACATTTTTGGTGGGCATTTTATAGTTAACTAGAGGCCTGGTGCACGAAATTAGTGCACTTGTGGGGGAGGGAATCCCTCAGCCCAGATTTCGCGAGAGCGCAGGCCAGGCCGAGGGACCCCCACCGGTGCATGATCAGGACCGGGGAGGGACAGGGGAGATTGGCCAGCTGGGGAGGGACCGCAGGAGGGCTCCAGGGCATGTCCGGCCCTCTCTCCCAGTCCCGATTGGCCAGACCCCAGCAGCAGCAAGCTAACCTGGTGGGAGTGTCTGTCCCCTGGTGGTTAGTGCATGTCATAGCGAGCAGTTGAGTGGCCTTAGCATATCATTAACATATTACACTTTGATTGGTTGAACGGCCGACTGGATGACCGGACACTTAGCATATTAGGCTTTTATTATATAGGATAATTTGGAGATAAAAGTTTCTCCAGCAGGTTTTATACGGCTCTTTATAGTAGGGAGCCCCTCAGAGATTATTGGCAGAACACAGCTTGGCTGTGGGAAGAAAGGCAATGGCAGGCCACCAGGAAGAGGTGCCCTTCCTTTGATCTCTCACCTCACCGATAAAGCTGCTGTTTCCAAGTCATCTCCTGGCTGGCCAAGGAAATTTATTTCTTCATTTGCTCTATCTGACTGTAGAATGTCCAGAACTTTCAGAAAAGGAATAACTGGACTCCTAGGACTTTGGGCCACATTGAAGTCCCATTGACCACTCTATTTGACATAATGAGATAACCTGTCACTTCTCTGTGGTGTGACATGGGCAGGACAGGCCTGGGGAAGTGATGCTGGTGGCCCACTGAGCTGTCTGCGACCACATGTAACATTGTATAGGACACGTGCTGATACAAGCGCAGGTGACAAACATTCTTTTCACCATAACCAAATGTGTCCTGTTTTGGGGATTTATGTTAGAGGAAGAAGTTGAATGTAAGGTGTTTTATGAACATCTGATTCACTTTTTTTTATTTTTATTAATTCTTCTTAGAGTGAACTCTAAACAGATGCTCTGGTGGGGAGGGTGGTGGGTGCTGTGTTAGTTTCCCGTGGCTAATTTAACCACTGACCATGAACTTGGTAGCCTAAAACAGCAGAAACGTGTGTTCTCACATAGTTCTGGAGACCAGAAGTCTTAAATCAAGGTGTCGGTAGGGTCTCACTCCCTCAGAAGGCTCTAGAGGAGAATCATTTCTTTCTTTTTAATATGTTTTGATTGATTTTAGAGAGAAATAAAGAGGGAGTGAAACATGTGAGAAACATGTGAGAGGATGTGAGAGAGAAACATCGACTGGTTGCCTCCCATATGCACCCCAACCAGGGGTCGAACCCACAACCTGGGCTCTGATCAGGAATCCAACCAGTGACTTTTTGGTGGTACATGGGATGGTGCTCCAACCAACTGAGCAACTGGCCAGGGCAAAAATCCTTTCTTGCTACTTGCAGCTCTGGTGGCTTCAGGTGTACCTTGGCTAGTGGCTGCATAGTGCTCATCTCTGCCTTTGTCTTCATGCATCTTCTCCTGTGTGTGTCCGTGTCTTTTCTTCTTCTGTCTCTTTCAAGAACACGCTTCTCACTGGATTCAGGGCCCACCTGAGTAATCCAGGATGATCTACAAAGACCCATTCTCCAAACAAGGTCCCATTCCAAGGTTCTGGGGGTTAGGAGGTGGACATACCTTTTTGAGGGCCACCATTAAGCTCACTACCGGTGGTGTGTTTGTCTAGGCATTTAAGGAGAGGCAGTGACAAGGAGCAGTGCAGGGAAACAGTGAGCTTCCCCCTCCACCCAGGCTTCCATCACCCGTGGAGCTATTCCCAGTGTCCCTCCCTAGTGACTCTCCACTGAAAGTAATTACCAGCTTTTCCTTTACAAATAATTGGGGGGGGGGGAATGAAACCTAGCACTCAATTCTTTTCTCTTTTTATTTTGTTAATCCTCACCCAAGGATATTTTCCTTTTGATTTTTTGAGAGAGTGGAAGGGAGAGGGAGAGACAGAGAGAGAGAGCAGTATTGATGTGAGAGAGACATATCGATTGGTTGCCTCCACATGCACTCCCTGACCAGGGCTAAGGATCAGCCTACAATTGAGGTACGTGCCCTTGACCGGAATTGAACCCTAGACCCTTCAGTCTATGGGCCAGTGCTGTATCCACTGAGCAAAACCGGCTAGGGCTCAATTCTTTTATCTTCAACATTGGTGTTCAGGTTGAGTGGCCAACTTTATATGCTTACGTAAACCATAGCCTCCAGAGAATTCCTGTGTGTGCATATGTACCCCCGTGTTCGTGTCTTTTCTCTGAAGACAGTAAGTACAGCTATTCACTCATGAACATTTCTAAGAAATTATGATTCCCCTCTGGCTGTTGTAACACAGCGTGCGCCCGCTGGGCTGACCTACGCACACAGATCTCTGGGCTTCCCTCCTGAGCGGGAGCTGTGAAGCCTGGCAGGCCGCACTGTGACCCAGAGTGCCCTGCTGGTAGATGGCCCAGTTTTTCCATGACCCTGGCTGAGCCAGTGTTCTTTAGATTTGACCTGGAAAACCCCTGCTTGTGTGTTTTCTAGTTTCAAAAGCCACGGCTAATGTACCTTTTTCACTCGGGCCACCCACTGTGATTCCTGTCCCAGGTTCCGCAAGCCAGATGCCCATGATGGGCTGGTTAGGTGAGGTGGATGGAGGGATGTTTGTGTAAGCGTTGAAAACGAGTTTTCTAAGATGAGAGGGCAGGGCAGTTCCTTGTACGCTGAAGCTGCCCTCTCCACTGGTTAGTCTCTTCCCAGCATTTCCTAATAGTTCTTTGTACATAAAACAAACCATAATTGTTACGAAAAAAAAAAAAGAAAAGAAAAACCCTCAGGACTTCAAATTGGGTTCTCAGCCTGTTGACTTCATTAGGTGAGACTTTTAAAATTCAGAAAGTTATAGTTCATGATTTTTTATGATAGTTATTTAACTATTATAATTCTTGGGCAGGCACTGAAGACTTAAAAAAAAATTCATTCGAAAGTAATAGTAGCTACTAAAGGGAAGAAGGGTAATTTGTTAAATGTCAGAATCAACTCTACATGTAAAAGAGAAAAGATCACTCCTTCAACTCAAACCACCTCCTCATGGTCTGAGCCTTTGTTGGGTGAGGAGAGAAAACATTTACAGGAGACCTGGGAAGACCTTCTGACCTGGAACTTAGAAGTACACTGACGCTTCACCAGAATAAGTCCTTTATTCATGCCGTGTGAAGCCAGGTTACTAAGGAGCACTTTCTGATAGATTAGCAACCAAATTCCCCGGGGCTGTCTCCTAGAATGAGCTTTGTCACAATAGCTGCAATAAAAAGAAATATAGGGAGGTATTGGTGTGGGTGGGAAACAGGAGGACAGTTCCCTAAAGCTATAGCAGTTCTGATATTCCTGCAGGTCTGGGCATGTGCAGGGTTGGTCTCCTCTCTGCTCCCTCTGTGCTCCCTTTGGAGGCACTTGTCTTGGCACCAGACATCGTGGTGGAGCTCTTTAATCGTTGCCCTCTGTGGCGGGTCCTTCTGGCTCAGGTAGAAGTGCTGCTCCCACTGCTTCCACTTCTGCAGCCGTGGGAAAGCTGTACACTTGTGCGTGCAGTCAGTTCCCCAGCTGAGCTGTCTTACACTGATAGACTGTGTTGTTTCTTTAAAACATAACACACAGCCCTGGCTGGCTTGGCTCAGTGGAAGGAGTGTCAGCCTGTGGCCTGGAGGGTCCCAGGTTAAATTCCAGGCAAGGGCACATGCCCGGGTTGCGGGCTCGATCCCCAGAAGGGGGCATGAAAGAAGAAGCCAATGATTCTCTCTCATCATTGATGTTTCTATCTCTCTCTACCTCTCCCTTCCTCTCTGAAATCAACAAAAATATATTTAAAGAATAATAAAATAAAACAACACACAGAAAGTTCATTCTTTCTGATAACTCGGCACTTCCTTCTCTCCCCCTACGAGGCTAAAATAGTCTATTTATTCTTTCCTAGAGGAGAAAAGAAAAAAAATGAAACTA